AAAAAATGTGCCTACAATATGAAATATATACAATTCCGGCAGGAGTAGTGGTGCATGCCTATAAGCCCAGATACTTAGAAGGCAGCTATGCTAACCACTATACCACCAACACCTCAATAAACCCAGACACTTGGGAGGTTAAACAAGAGGATGGCAAGTTAGAGATCAGCATGGGCAATCTGGTTAGACCCTATCTGACAACAAAATATAAAAATGATTGGGGGCTGGTGAGATGGCTCAGTGGTCTAAAGCACCTACTTAGAATAAGCTTAGCAAAAAAAAAAGCCCAGGGACTGCGGTTCAATCCCCCAGCACCACATGCCAGCCAGCCCCGCCCCCTGGTGGGCTGAGCTGGCCACACACACACACACACACATACACACATAAATAAAATAAAATTTTAAAAAAATGATTGGAAGGGGCCAGGGAGATGGCTCAGTAGAATAAGTGCTTCCCTGGCAAGTGCAACGGCTTGAGTTCAATCCCTGGTTCTGCAAAAAAAAAAAAAAAATTGAAGATGTAGCTCATAGTAGGGTGTCCCTGGGTTCAATCCCTAATGCTGAAAGAAAACACAACACGGACAGGACTGTGCCTCAACTGATAGAATACTTGTCCAGCATATGCAAGGTCCCGGGATCCTTCCACAGTACCACTATTCCCCCCCCCTTTCAATGTTGCTTCCTTTTAAAAAATTAATCTATTTTCTGCTTGGCATTTATTTCACTAGTAGACAGCTTTTTTTTTTTTTTTTGGTGGAACTGGGGATTGAACTCAGGCCCTTGTGCTTGCCAGGCAAGCGCTTATTCTACTGAGCCATCTCCCCGGCCCCCCCCCTTTTTTTAGACAGCTTTAAAAAAAACCTTTTCATCTTGCTAGGCCTGGTGGCACAAGCCTATTGTTCCAATATTCAGGATGTTGAGACAGGATGGTTGTGAGTTCAAGGCCAGCCTTAGCTAATTAAGACCCTGTCTGAAAACAAACACTTCACCTCTTTATTTGAAACAAATAATAAGCTGAGCAAGGTAGTGCACACCTGTAATCCTAGCACACAGGAGGATTACTGCTTTAGAGGCCAGCCTGGACTACATACTGAGTTCAAGACCAGTCTTGACTATGTAATGAGAGCCTGTCTCAACAAACAAACAAAAACTCAAATGAATAATGATCACTGTGGAAGTTCAGACAGCACCAGTATATAAGGTAAAACTTGAAGGCATTTCCTTCATCAACAGTAGGAACTGCGCAGGCCCAGAGATGGCCAGTTAAGGAACTGCATCAATAATCCTTACAGGAGGGCTGGGGAGATGGCTCAGTAGAATAAGTGCTTCCCTGGCAAGCATAGGGGCCTAAATTCAATCCCTGGTTCTGCCAAAATAAATAAATAAATAAAATAATCTTTACAGGGCTGGGGAGATTGCTCAGTGCAATAACTGCGTGCCTGCCAAGCGCAGGGTCCTTAGTTCAATCCCCGCTACCGCCAAAAAAAAAAAAATTCCTTATGGAGGTCTCTCTATACGTACACATGTAATTACATATGAGAGCTTTTAATTTACTATTATTTTTGTGGTATTGGGGACTGAACCCAGGGTCTTCACCATGAGCTACATTTCCAACCCTTTTTATTTTTGTTATCTTTAAAATCTTGAGGGGCTGGTGAGATGGCTCAGTGGTCTAAAGCACCTATTTACAACAAGCTTAGCAAAGCACACGGACCACGGTTCGATCCCCCAGCACCACATGCCCGCCAGCCCCGCCCCCTGGTGGGCTGAGCTGGCCACACACACACACACTCACACATACATACATACATACATAAAAAAAATTAAAAAAAAATAAAATCTTGAGATAAGGTTTCAATTAATTGCTCAGGCTGGGCTCAAACTTGCAACACTACTGTCTTAGCTTTCCAGAGTGCTGGGATTACAGGTGCGTGCTGTCACGCCTGGCATATGGGTTTTAAAAAATAAGTTTTCTAGAGTATAAAATTATGCATTGCTCTCCATCTTGTTTTTCATATAAAAATGGCTTAACACTCTTTCCAAAAAGAACATCAGTTTCTATTTCTAGTTCCAGTGTTCACCTTACCACACCTTTAGTAACTATTTTTATTATTGCCAGGCTAAGTAATTTATTGTTTTAATTTACTAGCTTAATTTTAATAGAGTATTACAAATACCTACCAACATAAAAAGATAGCTTCTTTCTTGCTTAAGCTCAAGTTAAGCACCTGACATGTTTAACTTATTTTACAAGTGGGCCCACAGGGTTTTTGAACTCAGGGAAGCATAGCATGTAGAAGAAATAGCTGACAGCGTTAGTCTTCCTGCAATAGTTAAATGTGTAAACCCAGAACTCAGTGTTTTCTCTATAAAATTGGAGAGTATAAATAACACTACTATCTTTCTAAAGCTCTACAAGTATATGACTCTTGGTCATAAATATTTCAAAACACAACGTTAAAATTCATCTGCTCTTCAGATGCAAAAATAAATAAATAAATAAAATTTATCTGCTGGGACTGCTTAACGGTGAGTAGAGTAATGTACCTTCACTTCCTAAAGCCTGTAATTTCCACCCGAAGAAATTATTTAGCTTTGTTCATTTATGTGCACTAAGCGCCTAGAATTGTGCCTAACACGCATGTTATTTGTTGAATGACTATTTGAAGAGTTTAATAAACCTGGGATGATTTTACTGTAGTCTAATGCTCACCTTCCTCATGAGAAAATGCTAGAAAACGGGCACTTTTATACAACTACGAGGGAGCAACATTTGCCGAAAGTGGAAGACGCTCTCATATTGATACTCTCCGGAGCTAAAATTGAACTCCCCATCCCCAACGTTACAATGGGGTCCAAACTCGAAGAAGGGACAAAAGTTGTAGCTATGTACATGTATAGGCCTACAGAAGCCAGGCTGGAACCTATTGTACCCTTCTCTGACTCTACCTTCTCAGAAAATGAGGAGCTACAGCTCCTCCTCTTGAAGAGACAACAACTTGGAAAATCCACGAATTAAAGACGCCAAAGGCACAGAAACTGGCGGGGAAAGGGCACAGAGAGTGACCAGACTCTTTTAAGTCCCACACTTTGGGTAAAGTCCCTGTTGTTAACATCCGTATTCTTACCTCCTTCTTTCTTTGGGCAGAGGCAGAGGGAACCTGGTACAAGAGCAGCAGCGCCACCGCCACAGTTGCAGAGGCATACCAAAGCCACCTACGCGCTGCCATGTTCGCTCCTCTAAACGAAACTTTCCTCCAGCAGGGTCCGAGGGTGGGGCGTGAGAACAGGCAAACCGACCCTTGGACTTTCCTCATTGGCTCCGCTCAGCCCCTCAAGTCGACCCCTCACATTACGTCAGAGCGCGATAGAGCCCGTCGCCCGCTAAAGGACAGTTCGCTTCTAATTGGTTCTTGCTAACCAATAGAAAAAGGATAATCTGGAGGGTTTTCATTGGCCAGCTAAAAATAATGGCCTGCCCATTTCCTTACAAGTAAAGCCGTGCTGTGCGGCTCTTTAAACTCGCATGCGCACTAGTGGACTGTTGCCGTTTTTTGGGTTTTTTTTTTGGTTTTTTTTTAGTTCAAAATTCCTTGAGGTTGCTTAAATGGAATCTTTCTCCCAAAGACTCATGTAGAAGTTTTTACAGTCTCCTTTCCCCCCTTATGGTTCTGGGCATTGAATCTAGGACTTTCCACTCAGCTCCCATTTTTAATTTTTTTATTTCGAGACAGGTCCCGCAGACTCGCTAAATTAGCCGAGGTGTTGATGTGTGATTTTTCTGTCTCAGCCTCCAGTGCTGGGATTACAAACGTGCACTTCCGCGGCTGGACATCTTTTTTTCTTTTATGAAAAATGAAACTGAGGACCTTGCACGAGTTAGGCAGGTGCTGTACCGTTGAGCTCTATTCCTGTTCCACATTCACTTCTTTTCTTTCTTTCTTTTTGTCTTTTTTGAGATAAGCATAAGGCCCTGGGTTCAATTTCAAACCTTGCCAAACAAAACAAAATGTGCAAGATACTCTCATATGAGCTGGGGAATTAGCTCAGTGGCATAAGCCTTCCTGGCAAGTGCAAGGTTCTGAGTTCGGTCCCTGGTACTGCAAAAGAAAAAAAAAACTCATAATTTACATGTATTCTTTACAAGAGATTTATTTATTACACAGGAACAAACAGTAACTTCATTTTATTTATTTATTTTCAGTAACTTCATTTTATTTATTTATCACCAGGACCTTATGCTTGCCAGGCAGGCGCTTAAGCCACTAAGCTGAGCTGGGGAGATGGCTCAGTAGAATAAGTGCTTGCCTGAAATTAGCAGGCCAAGAGGGAAAGCAGGCCCAAATAGCATGTTGTGACAGTCATAGTTAAGCAGAGAAACACAGACCCCCGTATATGTCTGTAAACTTTTTTTTTTTTTTTCGGAACCAGGGATTGAACTCAGACCCTTGTGCTTGCCAGGGAAGTGCTTATTCTACTGAGCCATCTCCCCGGGCCCTGTCTGTAAATTTTTACTGGGTCTCAGACTCAAAGACACAGTTCCCCTATTCTAGAAGAAGGCATATGATATTCCTGTTTGCCATATACTGTGCCCACTGACACCAGAAAAAGAAACATTCTTTTATGATCCCTCTCCCTTGTGCTGAGACCTGATTTAGATTAGAACTTATTGTTTGCAAGTTTCTTTCTGAAATTTCATACATGAAATAAGGACGTTAAGGAAACACTGACCACCTGAAAAGAACCAAAGAGATATTTGTTGATGTGCATCATAATCATCATAAGCCCATGAACCCCTGGAGTAACTCTTGTGTGCACAAAAAGATTTCAAAATTCCTGTTGCATTCAGATGCCTGTGTGCCACTGCAAAACTTCTCTGAAGTACAAATAGAAAGGTATAACACAACTAAAAGGAAAGCGAGAACTTGAGGACTGGACAACGAGAGGGTAAGGAGAAAAGGTGGGAAACAGGAGAGGTACAAAGCCATACATTTGTACGCACAAGATGGGCAAGGCAATGATCCTGGGAAACATCAGCAGGTTTTTGAAGCTAGCAGTTAATTGGTAGGATTCTCACCCTGACTAAACTATACATGCTGATACCTGTGAACCAAGCAACTGCACTGAAGATAGCACTGTGTAATAGAAGGGTCAGGTTTGGAATGCCTGTCATTCTGGTCTTCTAAATAGGTACTTCTTGTCATGACATACCAATTGTTACCATATGGTCTCGCAAGTAAAAGGTTTTTTTTTTTTTTTTTTTTTGTTTGTTTTGGTTTTTGTTTTTCTTTTTTAAAATGGGTAATGAAAAAAAAAGACACAAGAAAAAAAATGTCACAGGACTGTCCTGTTACAATGCTGTATATGGTTAGATTTCTAAATTTCTGTGTAAAAATATGTGTTTATTCCTTTTCTAAATTATTTTTTTCTTCATATTCTGTAAGGACTTAAAGTTCAACACATCAATACTTGATGGAAAATAACTTTTCCATGTTATGCCAAAGATGTTTGATATTTAGACAGATAGTTAGAGTAAACCGAACTGCCTATGTTGCAGGTAATACTAAGCTTCTCTTCTGTAGGGTTAACAACCTAAGTTTGCAGATCAAAAATTGGAGAAAAGGAAGGGCTGCAAGCTTAGCCAACATTTTGGCCCTAGCCTTTCAAGGTCAGTGAAGACTCAGGACATAGGAGAACCTATACTGTAACATAATGTAACTCAGTTGTGCCCCAAATTTTCTAATCAAGGAGATAATGGAGCCACAGAGGAATGTGATCAATGATGTACAGTGTGTCTAAGGAGAGTTACATGGAGAGAAAACATTCTCTCAGGCTTTCACAGAGAGCAAATTGGTCAAGCAATGGCCGTGACTCATCCACATGACTGACACTGACAAAGGATCTACAAAGTATGGTACAGGGTTACAGGATAACCCTGAGGGGACTTGACTGACCTTATCAAATACAAAAGTTACATTTCTTGTTATACAGGTCTTTTATTTGCGGAACTGGGGATTTTTTTTTTTTTTTTTTTTGTGGAACTGGGGATTGAACTCAGGCCCTTGCACTTGCCAGGTGTGTTAGTTGATACATTGTGTCAGCTTGGCTGAATCAGCTCTGGCAGGATGGGGGCCTCGCCCTTCAGGTGGGCAGGGCTCAGGAATTGAGAAAGGCAGGAAGCCGCCCTGCCTGGTTTCCTGCTGCCCCACCCTGCTTCCGTGGAGAAGTCTCAGTCTTGGAAGGAGCTTGATCTCGGCAGCCGCGCCACTTTGGAGGAGCTCCGATCTTCACTGTGGAGCGCTGGTCTTCGCAGTCAGCGCAGAGGGAAGAGAGAGGCTTGATGGACACCACTGCAGCTGCTGCTCCTCCTCTGCTTTTCATTGTTTTCTGCTGCATGAACTGCTGTTGTTTGCCTTGCAGCCAGCGGAATATGGACTGAACCCTCCAGTAACTGTGAGCTTAATAAACCTTTCCTTCCATCATTTTGAGTGTCCGGTATTTGTCCCAGCAACGAGTAAAAAGTAACTAAGACACCAGGGAAGCGCTTATTCTACTGAGCCATCTCCTCAACCCCCTTTTTTTTGTTATAAAGGTTTTGCTTTATCTTGGTCTTAACCATCCAGCAGAAAAGTATAAAAATGAAAAAAAAGTATAGAAATGAGGTATGTAAAGTAAAGCCATATTAATATGCTGAGCTGTAAAAGGCTCAAGTCAACAACTTCTGCAGTTGACCCACTACTATTGTGGACTGCCGGACTATGTTGGATTGTTTTGCTGAATTCAAATACCTGTAGTATTTAGATGCCAATAGAATACCCATCTCTGACAGGACTAAACAAACAAACAAACAAAAAAGGATACAAAGGAAGGACCATTTTGTATTTGTACGTACAGAATAGTTAGAATAGATATACAGCTACTTTCACTTAATTCAATGAGAAGAAAGATTTGTAGTAATGGTGTTTGGACAGGATATCCTGTCTGCTTCTTGTACTATGGATAACCGCTAAGAAGATAACAATGTACAAAGTATTAATTATTATTTTTTTTTTAACATTTATTTAGTGTGTGTGTGTGTGTGTGTGTGTGTGTGGCCAACTCAGCCCACCAGGACAAGTAAGCCCTCTCAATTTTACATATGAAGGAAGTAAGGTGCAGGATCCTTAAGTAATCTAGATAAAGGTCAGATCCAAACCAAGATCAGGCAACTGTAGGTGGCAGAACTGTAATTCCCTGACTCTACAGGTCTGCGCTCTGTAATATTTAGCACAGTCCAGATATTATGTAAAGGTTCCCTCAGTTTGTGATTCTGTGTTATTTCCTCACTAGTAGATTCACTTTATTTACTTCTGGCAGGAATACTACATGATTGGTATGTTTTCTTCGAGCATTTCATCAAGAGGTATATGATCTTGGTTCATCTCATTATTGGTAATGCCAACTTAGTGCCTCTTGTCTCTCACCAGGAACCCAGGTCCTGACATTGCAAAGAATCGCTCCCAACTCCCAGCTCCTCTGTCCCTTGTGGGCCTTGTCAAATATGTAAATAGCTGCATGGAAGTATAGTAGATAAGGCTTATTGTAAAGCAGATATAGAGAGACTTAACTCTTCAGAGAAGTCTTTTTTTTTTTTTTTT